TAGGGAAAAACAAATTGAGCTCAATTCTGATTTCTAATTTTAGAAATTCCTGTGTGCCACCCCTCCCTCAACCAGCCAGTCTGCACACTTTTCAGTTCTCAGTCGGGTGTCGGTCATAGCAGCAACTTTGCTTTTTCTCTCTTTGGTTTGCTCTATTTGTAATAAATAACCTTTACTATCAAATTAATAGAGTATGTTGCTGTAAGGACTCATACATGTTCACTTTTAACTTGCCTCTCATGGAGCTGCTGGTGGCCGTGGGAGTCTGGCGCTCACGAGTCCTGCCTGTGCTCGGACCTCGTCCTTCTGGGGGCTGCCTTTGCGGTTGTGCGGGTGGACAGTCCCCTGTGTTAGGGTCATTGTTCATCAGTACTAGCAGGATATGGAGTCCAGCACATTCTACTTGCTCTGCAAGCGTGTGCAGTTAGGATGCATTAGTGTGAAAGTCACAGAAAAGCCAGCCCACCCCGGCTTAAACACTGAAGGGGATTGGTTGGCTCAGGTAAATGAAAAGTCCAGAGGCAGGCCCAGCCTCAGATGTGGTTTGATTCAGACTCCAGCCATTTTTCTTTCAAAGACTTATTTCTTTTTTCGGAAAAGTTTTAGGTTACCAGCAAAATTAAGAGGAAGGTACAGAGGTTTCCCATATACCCCTCCCCCCGGCACATGCACAGCCTCCCCCACTATCACCATCCCCCACCAGGGTGGTCATTTGTTACAGCTGATGAGCCTACACTAATCACCCACAGTCCATAGCTTACATTAGGGTTCCCTCTCGGTGACTTGTATCTATCACTCTAAACAGGGTAGTTTCCTCTGTGCTCAGCGTGTTTAACCTCTCCAGCCCCCAACCCCTGGCAACCACCAATCTTTTTACTGTCTCCACAGTTTTTTGCCTTTTCCAGAATGCCACGTAGCTGGAAGTATACAGTATGTAGCCTATTCATATTGACTTCTTTCACTTAGTAATATGCTTTTAAGGTTTTTCAGTGTCTTTTCGTGGCTTGATAGCTCATTTCTTTTTAACACTGAATAATATTGCATTGTCTGGATAGACCACAGTTTACTTATCCATTCACCTGCTGAAGGACATCCTGATGGTTCCAGTTTTTGGCAGTTATGACTAAAGCTGCGGTAAACACCTGTGTGCAGGTTTTTGTGTGGACGTGAGTTTTCATTTCCTTTGGGTAAAATATCAAGGAGCACAATTGCTGGATTATATGCTGAGATTACGTTCGTTTTTGTAAGAAACTTTCCCGTTTCGGAACGCTTCTTTGCCTCTGCCTTCCTGCGGCCGGCTTTGCTCTCAGGTTGGCTCCCTTGTTTTGTAAACAGATGCTTCCCACTGAAGGAACGTTCTGCAGTTTGCCCTGCTGTGTGCCGGTGTGTCCTGCCCACTCCAGCATAATCACTATGCAAGGGTTGAGGCTCTGCTCTTGGGCTTACACCAAATAGGGCCACCCCAGAAGAAAAGTGGGGTGCCCCACCCAGACAGCCTCACCACTCTCCAGCAGGGGGAGTGGTCCTTCAGGGGAAGATCGCGGTTAACGGGGAAGGGAGGAGGAGAGTGGGTAGTGAATAGGCAGCAAGTGAATGCCCGCTGCCAGGAGGAGGAGCTGGGTGGGAACCTCAGCTCAGGGGATGTGTTTCCTGCAGCAGCAGGTGCTTCTCTCAGCATTGATTCTGCGGGGAGGAGTGTGTCAGCCGGGAGGCTGCTCCCACTGTGCTCACTGGTGTCGCCCAGGCTCCCTGTTCCCTGGTGGGAGGCCTGAACAACAGTCCTCATTTGCTTCACATGTGTGCACACGGCTGTTTTTCAGATCTTTTCAGATCGCTGACTTGAGAGATGGTAAATGAGCCTTTTACGTGGGTCTTTGTCAAAACTGAGAAAACAGGGATGCCCCTGGCTTTTTTCTGCATTTATTCTAGTCACCTGGGGTGACTAGGATAAAGAGCCCAGGGCTGAAGGGTCACAAAATTCCTTGCTGCTCTTCTATATTCTCTGTGTGGAAGACTTTCCCAGTCTTTATTGCCCTTTTTCAGTGGAACTTTGAACATAACTTTGGTTGGTTCATACGCACCATTTAAATTTGGTGTGAATTGGCAGAGGGTCCTCTGATGATGTAGGTGTTTTGGCTGTTTATTTACTTAATGCTTTGGCCTGGGGGACCAGGATCTGTAAGACATTAGCAGGCTCAGAAGCTTGGCCTGGCCTGGCCTCCAGGGGCTGTGCTGGGCCTGGTTGGTCAGGCCTGAGTCAAGCCATCTTCAGCCCTTCAACCACCTGCGCTTAGTGATCGCTGCTGGTTTTCTTTTGTCTCTTTCTCTCTTTTTTTTTAAAAAAATATTTATTTCTTTTTGGCTGCATCAGGTCTTAGTTGCAGCACGCGGGAGTTTCGTTGTGGCTCGTGGGCTCTTTGTTGCGGCGCACGGGCTTCTCTCTAGTTGTGGCATGCAGGCTTAGTTGCCTCACGTAGCATGCAGGATCTTAGTTCCCCGACCAGGAATTGAACCCACGTCCCCTGCATTGGAAGGCGGATTCTTAACCACTGGACCACCAGGGAAACCCCTCTCTCTCTTTTCTTTTCTTTTTTTTTCATTGCAGTACGCGGGCCTCTCACTGTTGCGGCCTCTCCCGTTGCGGAGCACAGGCTCCGGACGCGCAGGCTCAGCGGCCATGGCTCACGGGCGCAGCCGCTCCGCAGCATGTGGGATCTTCCCGGACCGGGGCACGAACCCGTGTCCCCTGCATCGGCAGGCGGACTCTCAACCACTGCGCCACCAGGGAAGCCCCTCTCTCTCTTTTTTTAATTGAAGTGTAGTTGGCTTACAATGTTGTCTTAATTTCTGCTGTACAGCAAAGTGATTCAGTTATACATATATATGCATTCTTTTTTTAATAAATTTATTTATTTATTTATTTATGGCTGCGTTGGGTCTTCGTTGCTGCACACAGGCTTTCTCTAGTTGCAGCGAGCGAGGGCTACTCTTTGTTGCAGTGCGTGGGCTTCTCATTGCGGTGGCTTGTCTTTGTTGCGGAGCACGGGCTCTAGGCGCGTGGGTTCAGTAGTTGTGGCTTGCGGGCTCTACAGCACAGGCTCACTAGTTGTGGCACACGGGCTTAGTTGCTCCATGGCACGTGGGATCTTCCCGGACCAGGGCTCGAATCTGTGTCCCCTGCCTTGGCAGGCGGATTCTTAACTACTGTGCCACCAGGGAAGTCCCAAAATATGCATTCTTTTTTACATTCTTTTCTATTATGTTTTTTTAAAGGCAACCCAATTTTTATTTTTATTTTTTAAAAATATATTTATTTATTTATTTTTGGCT